GAAAAAAAAAACAATATATTTGCAGATATTTAAATATTGAGTTTAAAACAAAATATCTAGAATTTCATGATTGAGTTTTTAGCGTTTTAATTCATGAAAAAACACAAGATCTACATGAATCAAATATGCTTACCTCTAAAATTCCACGATTTCTCAAGAGGAGGAAGGTTCTGTGGTTGGGCTAGGAGAAGGTTGCTGCTGCGTGAGAAATCTAGGCATTAGGGAGGAACTAAAGCTGGGAGGCAAACATAGAGTCTGCCACTCATTGCTATTTACTTAAAAGGTAATAGTTCGAATTTTAAGGTAATAATTGCCATTAATTCCATGAATTAACTTCTGATTTAATTTAACTTAGTTTAAAATTATAAATTCCTTAATTAGAAATTAACACCAGCCCTTAATTAAATTTGTTTCCCATTTAATTCATTGATCTGGAAAATCTTGAAAAATTTTAGAGTTATTACAAGCTTATAACTATAGACAAGAAAAATAGAAGAACTCACCTCAGTAGAAGAAAACGTCCATTGATTTACTGAGACAGCACATGTACACGTGGTCTTACTTTTAGCCTCCGAAGCAAAAGAAGCCGGCATGTTTGTCAAGATCAATTCTTTTAGAGATGCAACTCTGTTTAGCTGGGGAACATTCTTCAACTTGTCACAGCACCTGATTTCTAGTTCTTCCAGGCAAGGCATGGCACCTTCTGCCACACTCCACTCTTCTAATTCTTTAAGCATCCACAATTTCAGGACACGTAGTTTCGGGAAACTTCCAGGATTACAGGTCATTAGGCTTCCCAAATAGGAGTTCGCAAACAGTTTTAGGACTTTTAGCTCTTCCAGCTGCCCTAAGATTGGCATTGGGTCTTCCTTTAATCCTGAGAGTGACAGAGTTAGAACTTTGATTCGCCGTGGAAATTTGATGTCAGTTGCTTGCAATGAACCGAACAAATACAGCTTGGTGAGGCTCACAGGCATTCTCACTTTATCCAAATTAAGTTTCGAAGGTTCACCAGATTCATCAATTGATCTTAACTTGAGTGATTCAAGATGAGAGAGATGGGAGATCCACTTGAACATCTCTGTTTCAACATTGATTATTGAATAGTATGTTAGACTTAATTTCCAAAGACCTTTTAACTGGTTCAAACCATCCTTCAAGGGACTTTCATCGCCCAAAATCAGCCCTGATAATGTCTTAAACTGGATTAAAGACTGCACGGAGAGCTCCGGTATAGGCTTATCAAGATAAATGTTGTTCATATACAGATGACGAAGCTTCTCTGCCTTCCAAATGGAAGGCGGCAAGGTATGTATATAGGTATGCTTAAAGTCTAGAGCCTCCAAATTTGGCAGGTTGCCTAGAGATAACGGCAGTGAATCTAGAAACGTCCATCTCAATCCAAAGTACTTCAAATGCAGCATCTTCCCTATCGTCTCTGGTAAAAGTGGCTTAAAAACCCCCTCCAAATCAAGCACCCTAAGAAGTCCAAAACCTCTTCTGACGACCATTTTGTTAAGATATTTACCTATATTCATTCAACAATAGCTTAGTCGAGATGGTATTCCTTAATTTTAAAACCTTAAGTAATTCCAGAAAAAGAGAAGAAACTTATACCTGTTTCTTGATTAGGTACGTCGTGATGCCGGATGTCAAAACATACATAGGAACGAACATGTGGGGTATTGAGATCCGTGGAAGGATAATTCTTGACGTCCTGGTACTCGGCCAACCGCCTGACCTTTAACAGCTGTCTGTAATCTCCTTCACCGTTTGAATGTTTATGGGCGTAGAAAAATCCTAAATGCAAAGATTTCTGAGAGAAAACATCGTACAATATACTCGGTATTTGACAAGTTTTGGGGCTACCGTCCAAACTCCATTTTGCCACTTCAATCATGTTCCGGTAAACTAACTCCATGAAGTAAGCTCTAGCTTGCTCCTCAGGCTCAATTTCTCCAGCTGGTAACAGCCCCTCTGCCATCCATAAAAGCATAAGCCGTCGGAAAGGTATCTCGAATGATTTTGGAAATAGACAAAGATAAAGAAACAGGGGTTTCAGAGGGTTTGGAAGCAGATCATAGCTCATAATCAGTATGTTTCTGAGCTTTTTGTTAATGCTTAATGTCAAGTGTCCCATGTAATTGAACTGCCATTCGTAATCATACTCCAGCTTGATCACATCCGACCATCTTGCTGACGGTGTGTAAGACACTACTCCTGCAAACAATACAACCGCCAGGGGAATTCCACCAGTCTTTTCCACAATCGCCCTTCGATCTTCTGGAGAAGGTTCCTCTATTTTGTGAACCAGATCCTTTTCCTCTATTTTGTGAACCAGGACCTTCTCTTTGAACGAGTCATAGCAATCACCCCCATTCAATTCGCTAATTTTCACAAAATTTTTTTTCTGTTCCTCTGTCAATTTGATTGGAAATTCATCATCTTCTCTAGCAGTGAAGATGACACGACTTCCCTTGGATAATTCCGGGAGAATTTTTTGCAGAGTATCACTGTCAAGAATACCTTCGGTGATTTCATCGAAGATAATTAAACACTCCTTATCCTTCAAGAAGTTACTAATCTTCTGGATTAATTCAACTTCTTTCAAGTTTTTATGGGATTCTTGCGACGAGTTTGTCCTTAATGTAATTTGTTTCCATAAATCAATTAATACCTGCATTCCAAAGAAAAACTTGATTAATTTACAATACCATATAAATATACCATGCCCATATATAAGGGTGTTCGCCATGTAAATTGTATCAGATTTTAACATTTTTAGAACCAAATTAATTTAATTAATTAGTAAAATACTCAAATCAATTTAATTTACTATTACATTATAACTAAACCAATTTAATTTTTAATATTATTTTAAATATATTTCATTAGATAAAAAAATCACAGCATATAATTATAGAAGACACAATTATAAAGCATAATAACATCATAGACAATAAAATAATAGTACTTTTTTTTTATGCACATAAAATAATAGTACTAACTAATAAATTGAAGTAAGAATTAATAAGATAGCAAAACATATATATAGTACAAACTATATATATACATAGTAAGAACTAATAAAGCAACCTAAACATGTAAGCCCACCTTATAACCACTCAAGAAAGTAGAGAGTTTTGATATTTGAATTTTTGTTTATATAAGGGACAATTTAGGATTGCACTATTTTTTTTAATTAAGTTAATTAAGTTATGTTGTGTAATTATAATATGAAAATAAAATAAAATAACAATAGCTAATATAATCTTACTATATTATAAAAATTGTAGAAATCAATAATAAATACCCAATAGGCCTTTAAAAATCCTCAATAAATCCCTTAAAAATTTTTAATAAATCCTTTAAAAATACTTATAAAATGTCAAATGAATATCAAATAGACCTCTTTTAAGAGTTTAAAATCCACCTTAAATTTAGGAGTCTAATATTTTAAATAATATATTATTATCCTGCTTTAATTCAAATTTTAATTAAATTTGGACTCAAACTTTAATAATTATATATTTTATATAGAACCTTTAGGAATTACATTATTATTTTATTATTTTTTACTATATGATAAAAATTGTTAAAATTTTCAATAAATCCTAAGTAAATCCCAATAAACCTTTTAAAATTCTCAATAAATTCTTAATAAATCTTCAATAAACACTAAAAAATTACCCAATAAACATTTTAAAATCTGCAATAAACACTAAATAAATACCTAATAGGCTTTCTAAAATTCAAATTCAATTAAATGTTACTATCTTACTTCTTATTATATTATAAAAATTATTAAAATCATCAATAAATTTCGAATAAATATTCAATAGGCCTTTAAAATCTTTGATAAATTCTTTTAAAATTTTCAATAAATCCTTCTAAAATACTTATAAAATCTCAAATAAATATTCAATAAACCTCTCTTAGAAAAATATCAACTTATAATAATTGAAGCGTACTTTGAATAATAATAATAAAAAAAAAAAAGCTTACCGCCACATTATCATTATTATAATATAACAATATTAATTATCATCATTAAATCTCCAAATTAGTCCTTCAACTATTATACGACTATTATACATATTTCTAAGTTAGTCCTTAAACTTAAAAAGTCTTTGATTTAATCCCTTAAAACTTCGTAATTTAGCTACGCCCCTCTTGTTAAAAATCCACTTGCGTGTCTATTAATTGATAGGAAAAGGATGATGATTGAATGGACCGTAACATAGCAACCAAAAAAAAACCCTATGGGCACATAATACAACATATATAATTACATTATCCATTTAAAACTATAATTTTGCCCTCATCTTCTTCCTCCTGCATCCTCTTTCTCCTCTCCAATCTATGATGGGTGTTTATGGATGCAAATTGCAAGGGGAAATTGAAGAATCTAATGGGAAGGAAGGTTGAATAATGGTGGGGATGAAAGTAAAACCTAGGCAACTCCAATCTGGGAATATGAGAGGAAGAAATGGGGAAGAGAGAAAGAAGATGGGTAAAATTGTTATTTCAGTTGAGGGGAAAAGTTATAACTTAATTTCACTATAAGGGCAGTAATTAATATATATATATATATATATATGTCATTTTGTTGTTTTTAAGTTTCAATCGATTTAAGAGTAGGTGATTAATTTTTTTAATAATTTTTTATATTATTTTTACATATTATTATATATATTATCATATGAGTAAGCATATTCAATATCATAAATTTTAAATAAATAAATAAAAGTCAGTTTTTTAAATAATATGTAAAATTATACTAAAAAATAATATAAAAAATTATTCTTAAATATTTTTTGGACGGTGATACAGAAACAATTTCTTTTATCACTTTTTTATATAATTTTTATATATCATTAAATAAGTGAATGCATTTAATATCATGAGTTTTAAATGAATAAAAAGAACTAATTATTTTAATGATACGTAAAGTTGTACAAAAAAAATGATATAAAAAATTTGTACCTAAATCATTTTCCATAGGTTAAAACCCAAATTTGATCCCTCAACTATTGTATAGACCATCAATTTGGTCCCTAAACTAAAAAAATCCTAATTTGGTCCCTACTATTTACCAATTTGACCCAAAATTGGTCATTCCTTAAAAAACAATTGACACGTATGATATTTAACTATACAAAATTGTTACTTAACAGCTATGTATTATGTTAATAACAAAATACATCATCTGTTTTTTTACGAAAGAACCAACTTAGAGTCAAAATGATAAATAGTAGAGATTAAATTAGGGCTTTTTAAAATTTAGGAACCAAATCAGGAGTCCATACAACAGTGAAGGGACCAAATTGAGGGTTTAACATTTTCCATATTTTTTTGTCCAACACAACACTTCTGCGCCGAGGTGTAATTTACACATAATATTCATAATAAAATAACAAATTTTTAACAGAGGATTTGTCTCCC